TTCAAAGGTCTTGGATTGATTCAATTTTCGGGTTCTGAGTCATCATTCCCCAAAGAATACTCCAAACCAGGATCAAACAGCTCTACAGGTTAAAATCTGAAAAAGTGACGTCAGCTGCAAAGCATGAAGAGGACGATGAATGATGGACAAGAGTGCAAACGCTCTGCGGCGAAGCATATTGTTGTAACCAAGATGCGACTGTCTCGTTGTTTGCTGCCCTTGGCATCCACTGTTTCGTACTGTTTCCACCCAGGCAGTGCAGCGAATTTGTCTGCCTTTGTCAGTAACACCACAGCCGGAGGCGGCAAGAGTACAGGCCGACACATGACATCCGGTGACGACGCGGGACGATCGCCTTTGGATCACGAATACCCAGGCACAGCCGTCGAACGGATGCTCAATATTCGAGCTCGAGTGGCACAGCTTGCCAAGGGTGACGATTTATTTCAGCCATGGGAAGATGTGAGGCGTCGCATTCTCTGGGCTGGAGGCCTCAAAGATCTCACCAATGTTCGACCGGGAGAAGGCTACACGGGGCATGCTTTCAACGACTTTAACCATGTGGATTTGACCGCCATGATGCCTGTGGATAGTCAAAACAATGGTGAAATTCGAGGCATTGCTAGAGGGAATTTCCTCGGCAAGGGTATTCGAGTTGCCTCCCTTCCAGAACTTGGATCTGGAGGATCTTGGTCGACCTGTGCACTCGGGTGCAACAAAGATCCACCACAAGATGTGGCCCACATTCAATTCCAATCCAGAATCGCATTTAAACTGGTTTGGGTGCCCAATGAAAATTTTGATACGTTTGTACTGGTGGACGATGATGGCAGGCAATTGGCACACGGAAAGCCATCCGACGGTCCAGCTGGACTTCCCAATCTGAGAGAACGGCAACGCAACTATCAGATTGTTGCGGGATCGAAATACGCCAAAGAAGCTGAGGCGCTGGCCCGAGAGAATAGTGTAAAGGATGAACTATGAGCTATCAAAACTTGCTACAAGCTAGTAAAAAAACTGGCTTATGTTGAATAAGGACGGCGAGAAGGATATGGCCCGCTTTGGACTGATACTACTCATATTTGCAGTTTGTGTGCGTGGGGCTTTCCTTTCTTTGATAAGCAAGTCATCTCTTTTTTATTGTCAAGCCAAACAAAAACATTGGCGTGGCTCCCGTGCCCTTTCAGATGAGCTCTGTGAGGTGGACTGCGTCACAAGACAAGTTGGAAACAAAGTATGCATACTAGTACCGTCACGTAGAAGGAAGGGTGGTCCACGCACAATACCATCCATCTGTTCCAGGCTGTGAGCGGGCTGCCTATTCATCACCACAAGTTGATACGGTACGGGTCTGGAAGCAAGTGCGTCCGCCCCTCACAAGTCCTAAAAACGACTTGTGACGAAATGCCGGATCGTCTTGGCGGACAAAGCTTTGAAGCAAACTCTCTGGTTCACGGTCGAAGCTATGATGTCACGATGTCACTGTCACAGTAGGAATTTGGAATCTTGCGAAGTCTAACTACATCCTTGAACACTAATTTTAGAATTCTTATCAACGCGCTGCACAATGCACAAGCTCCCGCATCCGTTAGAGCGGATTTTTAAAAGACTGCTCCTACTTCCCAGGTAAATCAGCCGAATTCGAACACTACTCAGTACTCGACACTCGAGTACTGTGCTATCGGTACTTGGCAGTAAGCATTTACCTCGATGTTTTTCAGAAAACAGGAGTATTTAAAAAAAAAAAATTATTAAATACTCCAGTAGACAGTAGAGGGTACTGAGTACAGTCGTACTGAGTACTACTATGAGTTACTATGATAGCTAGCTAGTAGCTCTTCAATCATGCTTGGAAGTTTCCAAGGTTGCATGCAGCTGCCAGACATTCAGGTATTCAAGTAGATGTGGTAAACATTAATTTCAGTTTTTCAATAGACTAATAATAACTCTAGCTCTCTAATTACCTGAACTACCTATACCACATGATAAACGCCAACAATCCATGCCTGCAAAACACCCTCCGCTGTTTTATAAAGCACCGGTGTAATAACCCAACCCATTTTTTCGTGGGTACTGGTATGTACAGCCGTATCGAGGGCAGTCCCACCACGCAAACGCTTGTTCCTGCTCTCGTAAACTACCAAAACAACAAATTCAAGAGGTAAGAGCGACATAACGTTTCCATGAGTTGACGACTGACGACGCTGCCCTCCAAAAAAGAAACAGCCTCACAATTCCAGAGCCACTACAAGATCTTTAGAATCCCTGTGCCTTTCTTGCTCTCACCTGAAGTGAAAAAGGGCTTCATCTGACGAAACAACCACACCGTGGCGCCAGACATTATCATGAATAACATGGTTGATCCAGGTAGCACGACGGCATCTAACCCGGCCGAACCACAAATCGTACCTTTCCTTGACCTTGTGCGGCAAGTTGTACAGGAACAGGATACTGAAGCATTTGCCACCTGGTACGATGGCCGAGGAAAACAAACCGACGAGTACTCGTTTGTCCGAATGTGGGAAGAAGCAGGTGTGATCGCCAACCATCTCCGCAAGTGGAACGTGGAGAAAGGGGATCGGGTCGTCCTGTGCTATTCCTTTGGACTCCATTTCTTTGCTACCTTCCTTGGATGTTTGCGAGCCGGAGTGGTAGCTGTTCTAGTCTACCCGCCGATTCCGCCCTTGACCGAATCACTCCCAAAGATGAACAAGGTCGTCTCGGACTGCAATGCCAAACTCATTCTCATTGATTCTACCATTGCATTGGGCAAGAGAATTGACAGGTGGTCTCCATTATCGAGCAGTCGACATCTGTGGCCCAACATTGCTGAGTGGAAGGTCACTGATAAGCTTTCCTGGCATGGACTGACTAAGTTCGACGACTCGGTGCCGGCTCCAACCGACTTGGCGTTCCTCCAGGTAAGTCGGGGGAAGCTGTTTGCCTCACCATTCACAACTTCATTACCGTATTGGGCCGACAAGCTAATATTCGCTTTTTCCTTGCATCTCCTACGGTACTAGTACACGTCGTAAGTGCTCTGATTGAAACTACCCTGGGATTCAAGGTTGGACCACACACGTCTCTCAAAACTCACCTCTGGCTGCCTGATCTTGCAAAAACCAGCGGCTCCACTGGTGAACCAAAAGGTGTCATGGTTACTTTTGAGGCACTGGCTGCCAACGTCAAAATCATACACATCGGCTATAAACAGTGCTTTCGAGATGGGATGCCTGAAAGACTGACTGGATTCTCGTGGCTTCCCCAGTATCAGTAAGTTCCATATCAGAGTTTCTAACGGTCTGGTGCTGATGTTGGATTGGATGTGGCAAAGGTTCAATATTTTCTTTGCTGACACTAACATTCGTCGTGTTCTCTCCTGCTCGAATAATTGTCCTTTGCAGCGAGTAAGTGCTGGCAACGATTCCGGTCTGACGGTACAATCCGTTGTGCTTCTCAAACCAAAGACGCGTGTCTGACCGTTGTGCTTTGCGCTTTGGTTGATCTCGATAGCTTGGGTTTGATGTGAGTGCCAAGTTGAGGTGGTCGTCGATGACCAGCAAAGGGCTCACTAAACGCATGTTCCTTTCTCGCAGCTACGCTACCATCGCACCGTTTGCTGGGTGAGTTGAGTTGATACGGTGTGGTTTCCACCCCGTGATTTTTGTATTCGACCTTGTTCATGTAGAACTGTTGACTCGCGCTTTCTAACTAACTGACTTGCTATGACAAAACAGTGGGTTTCGAATGCACATGATGAGCCCCATTGATTTCGTGAAGAATCCTCTTCTCTGGATCGAGCTCATGTCCAAACACCGGGTGCACTGGGGTGTGGCTCCAGACTTTGCCTTCAACCTGGTAGTGCGAAAGTTTATCGAGGCACGAGATCGAAAAGGCAAAGAACCAATTCCTGGGTACGTCGCTAGTAGCCAGGTTGGATCTCTTGCACTACTTGCCGTTCATGCCTCCTCACGCTGGCTGCCTGCCACCTTAGGCTGGATCTGTCGACTCTTCACAACCTCCAGAACACTGCCGAGCCAGTCAAAACTAGCACAAAGAAAAACTTTGAGGAACTTTTTGCCCCCTATGGATTGAGAGATGGGTGGTTTGCTTCCGGTTATGGCTTGGCAGAAAATACTGTTTGTGCTGCAGCTTGTTTTGAATTTCATCTCTCTTCGCGAGACGAGGACTTGCATCCTTTCGTCGCGGCTGGATCTAGGGATGTTGGTGACCCAGGAGTTTGCTCGTTGAAAGTTGTAGACCCAGTGACTTGTCAAGAGGTTCCGGATGTCACAACTGGTGAAGTGTGGATCGGTGGCATATGCCGAGCTGCTGGGTACTTTGGAAAGCCAGATCTAAGCAGAGAAACGTTTGGCGGCAAGCTGGTTGGAGATACTTCAGACCGTACATTTCTACGAACAGGAGACCTGGGCTTCTTTCAGGTAGATAGAGCGAGACTGTGCCGAATGCATCATTCTTTGCGCCATCGATGCCACGTTCTCACGCTTCCTTCGTGCGACCTTTCTTTAGGACGGCAAACTCTACATATGCGGCAGATCAAAAGATATCATCATCGTGAATGGGTACGTTTTCGCGCGAAGAAAACGCTTTTGTTCATTGTGATGTCACCGTTGGGCTCATTCCTTCAATCCAGAGCCAATTACTATCCTCAGGATGTTGAAGCTGCTGTGCAAGAAGCATCGCCAGCCGTTCGCCCTGGTTGTCTGGCCGCATTCTCGTCGTCTGAAACTGCCGATGCTGGTGCTGCCTTGGAAGTCGTTTTTGAGATACGAAACAATATGCTCCACGATTTGGCCGATGTTGTCGAAACCGTGCGTCGCAGTATCATCGCTTCAACTAAACTGTCACCGCATCGCGTCGTTGCGATACGCGAAAGATCAATACCCAAAACAACCAGGTAAGTCAGGGGCATTGGTTCACACACAAAAACTGTAGCATTCCGCCAACATACCGGTATCGCTTTTGCCTGCATCCGCCAGTGGCAAGATCAAAAGAAGGGCAACTCGAACCGCTTTGCATGAGGGTGCTCTTCCAGTTCTGCTAGAATGGTCGAACACAGGGAGTACCTTTGGCGAAGATTTCTTCAGCGCAGAGTTGCTGCCTGATATAGGGGAAAACGATGTCACTGCGTTTGATGACATCATGCTCATTAGCGAACACATGAGACAGTACAATGTCGACGGGGACTTGTCTGAGTTGTGCCGGCGACTGGGGCAGTCTGCGCACAAGAGGACAGCTCCGCAGCACTTCGCTGCTGACAGTATGGACATCAGCGAACACAGTTTCTGTACTGATGAGGTGGATATTGGCGATATTGCCTCCATCCGACAATCTACCGAGCCTGAGATACCAAAGGAAGACAAAAAAGAATCAAATGAAAGTGGACCGGACGCTCCTGGCGATGGACTTGTTCAATATTATGCAGCGTCATTCGGTAACACGTCAATTCAACTTCCAGAAGCAGCTGTAGCAGCTGTGTGTGCAATTGAAGCAAACGAGGAGAAGTTGAATGATGCATTTGATCACCTTGGTCTCAGCTGTATCCCGGAGATAGCACAAGAGTGGAATGAACTTGACAAGAGCACCTCTACCATACAGGCCATGTGCAAGACAGCGATGGATGCCATCAACAAGCATAATCCCGTCTTGGTCCGTTTTGCTCATCTCCTAGCAGCCCATCCGGAATGGATTCAAGGTCAAAACGGAGCCGAGCAACTGGAAGGGATGATACACCAAGCCTTTGTGCTCAACTGGGCTACGACAGTCCTGTGTGCCAGCCCTGACCTGATCAGGAAGAAGATGGCTTTCGACAGCAAAAGCGAAATGGAAGCTCTTAAGGATCACAAGCCAGTAGCGCTTCCCAAAGACGCCCGCTTCTTGGTTAACGGGAGTGAGGAAGACTCTCTGTTTGGGGCTGTGAGCCTCTTTCTGTGGATGAAGCATCGTACTGTAGGGAAAACCATTAGTTCGATTCTTGAAGCTGAGCAACAAGTTGGCGAGGCAAAGAGTAGAACCGAACTTTTGTCTCAGGAGCTCTTCTTCATCAACATATTGGAAGCTACGTGGCTGGATGAAAGGCAAGGCTTCTCTGACAACGCTTTCGTTGGGAAATGGGCCGCTGCTCGGTGTCATGTCTCCGGAATGAGTGGTTACAAGGCATTGATTCGTCAACAGTCGTTTGCGGAAGTCTACTCGGCTTGGAATATGGCTTTTGTGATGACCTTGGAAAACCCGCTTCTCATCGCAAAACTCTTGATACCGTGTGTGAGCGCATGTGAACCTGAAGACTTCCTTTGGAATCGCATTGTCTCGTTGTATCTTTCTTCAACAACGATTCTTCCGTCTGCTCTCGCCGACCAAAGAAACCCTATCTTGTCGTCCACTCCTATCGAAGCTTTGGGGCATTTGAATCGAGCTTGGGTACGCTTCCTTGATCCAGAGTATGAGCACAAGACAACACCAGCACCAGGTTGGTTCAGGTTATTTGACTCATGGAACCGGATCTCTCCAGCCACTAGCACAATTGGTGCTGTTTCAAAGAGCATTATGCCTTCTGAAGCACAACGCCAAACAAGGAATTTGTCCGCTTCAGAAATGTTTGAAGTTGTCCGCAACGCGGTTGCTTCGTTGTTGGGTGTAAATGCCGATGATATCCCTGCCAGCCTCCCTCTAGATCAGATGGGGCTAACCAGTATGATGGCTGTTGAGTTGGCTGATCAGTTGGGTGCAGCCACTGGAGAATACATCCCAACCACATTGGTTTATGAAGGTGGCTCTACCGTCGAGGACATTGTTCGCTACCTGAACAACATGCACGACGTTCCCATTGACCATCCCATTGACGCCGCTTCTGAATCCTCTATGGAACCAATCGCTGTGATCGGAATTGCATGTCGGCTTCCCGGAGAAGTGCAGTCGCCAGAAGATTTTTGGAAGCTCCTTGCTACAAACACAGATGCCATTCGAGAAGTCCCACCCAGTCGATATGATTGGCGCGAGTACTACGATCCAAGGTCGGGTAGAGCAGGGAAGACTGCCTCGAAGTGGGGAGGATTCATAGAAGACATTGACGGATTCGATTCCAGGTTCTTTTCCATGTCAACCAGGGAAGCTGAATCTCTCGACCCCAAAGCACGGCTTCTGCTCGAATGTTCCTTCGAAGCATTTGAGGATGCTGGCCTACTTCGAGATGACTTGCTTGACAGCAAGACTGGTGTCTTTCTTGGTTCTGGTGAAAGTGATTTCGCAATTGAGACATTTCAGAACCCAACAGAATTGGACCATTATTCTCTGCTTGGGTGCTCAAGTGCAGCGACAGCTGGCAGAGTCAGCTACGTCTTTGGGCTTCGAGGTCCTGCAATGACAATTGACACGGCATGCTCGTCAGGCCTAGTTGCAGTGAATCAAGCTTGCAGCTCACTCTCCGCTGGAGAGTGCAATATGGCCTTAGTTGGGGGTGTCAACCTTGTGGGACCTCATGTGACCGTTGCATTGAGCCAAACTGGAGTTCTTAGCCCTACCGGGCGGTGTCATGCCTTTTCTGCCGATGCGGATGGCTACGTCCGAGCAGACGGCTGTGGAGTGCTACTTCTGAAGCCACTCTCTGCTGCAATCCGTGACAAAGATAGAATCCGAGGAGTGATCCGAGGTAGTGCTTGCAATCAAGACGGGAAAAGCATTGGACTCAGCGCCCCCAGAGGTGAAGCACAACAGGCTGTTGTACGTGACGCGCTGCGGCGTTCCGGGATCCCTCCATCGCAAGTCGGTTACGTGGAGTGTCATGGCACTGGAACAAAGCTTGGAGATCCAATTGAAGTAAATGCGTTGGGAAAAGTGTTCGCTCAGGACAGAGGACAAGGATCAAATCTCATCATTGGTTCCGTGAAGAGTAACATTGGTCACAGTGAAGCAGCTTCAGGGGTAGCTGCGTTGATCAAGGCGTTGCTCTGTCTGGAAAAGAAGAGCATCCCCGCTAGCTTACATGCCAGCAATCTCAATCCACACATACGGTTTGACAGATTGCCAATTGAAGTTGCGACCGAGAACACTGAATGGAAGCCCAATGGGATGCCAAGGGTGGCCGGTGTCTCCTCTTTTGGTATCAGTGGCACCAACGCCTTTGTCGTCGTTGAGGAAGCCCCTGAATCCCTTCGTTCGGACTACGGTTCCTCTCCCGATTCTGAAGAACACGTTCTTCCCATTGTTTTGTCATCGCACAGCCCACAGGCAACCATTATTCGCGCCACACAACTGCATTCTCATTTGATGACGCAGCCGGATGTATCGATTGTCAATCTTGGGTTTACATTGGCAACCAAACGTACTCTGTTTCAGGAGCATCGAGTTGGCATTGCCGCATCTTCACGAGCTAATTTGTTGGAGGAGCTCGAACTGCTTGCGAAAGGAAACCTCGAGAGTTGTGTTGAAGCCTCAGATGTCAGCCCCAACAGAAAGCTATGTGTGCTCCTCTCTGGCCAGGGAACACATCACCATGGGATGGGGAAAGATCTGTATCAAACCTATGAATCCTTTCGCCAGGCTGCAGACGAATGCGCAAAGCACTTCGACGAGGAGCTTGAACTCCCTCTGTTGACCGTAATGTTTGCAGAGCCAGGAACAGGCGAAGCGGCACTGCTGGATCGGAGCGACTTCGCCTTGACCGCGCTGTTCACATTCCAATACGCCACGTTCCAGCTGTGGTCATCTTGGGGAGTCCAACCAGATATGCTTATTGGCCACAGCGTTGGCGAAATGGTTGCTGCGACTATCGCTGGAATGTTTGACTTGGGTGATGCATGTCGACTCGTTGCTACTCTAATACGATTGACAAAGGAACTGTCGCACAATGGCTCTATGCTCGCAGTCGAGGCATCCGAGTCAAAGCTTCTTGACTTGATCAAAAAATTGGACGGGGCCGTTGACATTGCTGCTGTCAACTCACAGCACCAAGTCGTCCTGTCAGGACCGAACGAAACAATCGAAAAACTGCAAGAAGCGTGTCGATCGATTGGCTTGAAAGCAGAGAAACTCAATGTAGACTGTGGATTCCATTCGAGATGCATGCACCCAATCCTGGGTGCCTTCAGCGAGGAGACGTCCAAGGTTCAGCAGAGGATGCCAGTGATTCCTGTCATCGGTTGCTCAGAATGCGGGCTTGTTGATTCAGACGCCATGGCGGACGGTGACTTCTGGTCCCAACAGATTCGGGGAACCGTGCGATTCGCAGATGCGGTGAGTGTTGCACAAGATCGGGGCGCCGACATCTTTTTGGAGCTGGGCCCGTCATCGCAACTCATTGACCACATGGCGTCTAAAACGTCGGAAGAGAAACTGCCAAGTCTTGTGTCGACGTTGAAGAAGGAGGGAAGCAGTGAGCAGCAAGCATTCACGAGAGCTGCCTGCGACTTGTTTTGCTCGGGCATGGCGCCATTGTGGGATAGTGCTTTTCCAGCAAGTGCCAGAGTGGTAGATCTGCCAACCTATCCATTTGACCGGCAAAGAGTTTATCGGAAGCCTTTTGGGCCCGGCGAACTCGCATCTACTTCGTCAGGCAAAATGAACAACCCTCGAAACGGTCCAAGTTCAGCTGCGTTGACATACTCTTTGACCGACTGTCAGCGGTTTCTGGCAGGGTTGCTTGGAGGATTGCCAGAACATTATGACAAAAGCCTCTCCCTACATGCCGCCGGATTTGATTCGTTGTCACTAATGTCACTGATTCGGCACATCAATGATGTGACAGGATCTTCTTCTTTCAGCCCGTCTTGCCTGAGAAAGGATATGGTTGTCGAAGACATTGTCAAGCTTATCCAAAACGAATGTGCTGCCAATCTTCACAGACGAGAAGGCACAACCACAGCCAGCGAACTCGCGAGCACACATTCATTGGGGAGATCGGGAAGCCACGTACAAGGGATCGACCGTGAGGAAGCAGGCAAGCTCGTCCTGCCTCATTTCGACGAAGATGACGCTGTCACGCACCATGGAATCGAAAGTCCACCAATAACATGGCAACGCGAGAGGATGCTGGCTGGGGTTGCATTCGTAGCGACTGTTGGTTGGTGGATACTCTCACTCTACACCTTTGGTTCTCAAGAAGATCCCGAACAAGTCCTACTCTACACAGTTGTGGTCCTTTTCCTTTGTCTCCTCAGCCGGAATTTTGTGTACTCCAAGGTCTCGCAAGGGGCAAGCTGGATACCTGATCCAATCACCTTCACACACAGTCTTCAGCAGGTCCCGGTTGTGCTTGCTTTCATCGCCCTCTTTGCGGCTGGCACGGACACATTCCTGAAATTCTGGGGATCCATCCTGTTTGGCTTTTACCTGTTTACGTTCTCCAACATCCTGATCTCGTGGGATGACTGCTCGGTGGACTTTCGAAGATTCTACGTTGTTCACCACTCCTTGGCATTCATCCTCACTGGCGCATTCCGAATTCCAGATGACGAGTGGACCGATGAACTAGCCTTGGGAGTTGTGGTGTTTCTGACCTCTGACATTTGGAACGATTTGTTCATTCTCTTTAGGTGCATCTATGGTCATGATGCTTTGTCCCGATGGCAGACGGCGTACCTGCAGCTGGCTGCATTTGCCGCAGAACGTCTGCAGCGCCTAGCCACCTTCTGTATTGCTTTCTTTGTCGACGAAAAGAACGCACTGGGATATCTTCTCTTTTCAGCAGGCATTGCCATGGAGATGTGGGATATCTATTTCCAGGCCAAGCGGGTGTTACGCCAGTTTCGTGTTGCCCAGAGGTTCACAGGTCAGGCCACCTTGGGCTCCAGCCGCGACCTCGAAATGGGAATGCCATCATCGACGATGGCACCTCAAGAAGATGTACCGTAATCTCCAACGCTTCCAATTCGCACATAGCTACTCTTGGCCCGAACATAATGTCGCTGTCCTCCACTTCCCCTCCCATCCATAGTGGTGGCAATCTTCTGCATGCCAAATTCATACGGTAGCCAGACACCATGACATGTACCGTATAAGTCGTTCATAAAGTAAATACAACAAAAGTCATCTTTGCTCGGGCCACGCCTTGCGAGTACAATGATACGGCTGTACGCTGGTATCCGTGTTGCATCTCATTGGAGCCCTGTGCATAGAGCGTGGTGCGGCAGCTAGTGGGACAGCAGGTCCCGTCTTTCCGAGCTTGAAAGAGTTTCCAGGCTCTCAGGATGCGATAGGAAGACGTCACTGTGCTCAATATAATTTGGATCTTTTGAAGCTATCTACTAGTAGGAAGGCGTTGTACTCTCTTCATGTAGGAATACCGGTACCGGTACATGTACCGGTAGCACTGTGCTGCTGCGACAGGCTGTCTTGGTCTTGTCCATCTATTGTTTGCTGTCCTGGCTTGCCGCTGTTGCCTTCATCAAACGTCTCTGACAAATCTATCTTCTGAAAACTGTCCATGCCCCTACGGTCAATCAAGAATTTTGTTGTTGCAATGATGGATCCTAGTCCATGTACATGTATTTGCCGTGAAGACCAAAATACGTACGACTCGACTCGACCCATTCATTCTGCTCTTCCAACTTTCTGGGATGGGGCCCCTTGCCATTGACTACCTCTCGTCCACTATTTCAACAGTGCATGTTGGGTATCGGTGAGCAAAGGCAAGCCGGGTACGGTATCAAGCCCGGCCATGACCCAATGGTGCTCTGCCATGAAGTATTCCCGCTGTCAGAGATCGAGCACCTCGAGGGCTTCGGCGGCTGTTCCTTCTGCTTCCGTTGGAAGGTTAACAATGACATTGTATCCAAGTCAAGCCGTGTGCTCCTCCCATGGTTCCTACCGCTGGATCATCGATTCATTGGTTGTACTGATGAGGATGTTGTCCTGTTCCATATTGTACACAGTGCACCACAGACTGAGGCATGGATGCCATGGCAGAGAGCACCCAAATACTCGCTAGCTAGCAGCAAGCTATTAGCTAGGTGATGCTGTATCTGAGATACTGGTATTTCGCCATCTCATTTGCTTCACTGGGTCCGTGGATAACTTCACTGCTCCTGGTAGGCCCCCCTTTCTTGGGTCTATGCAACCTAGCTAGCCAACTGGCTCAAGTACCAGTACCGTACCAGTGAATTGCTTCGTCCTTACAGATCCAGAGAGACCAGCGCCATCCGTCTGAAATGGAACAGGCTACTCCGAGTATAGTCTATCACTGCTTGGCTGCTATTGCTGCATCACAAGTAAGTCGATTGATCCAAGGAGTCAAAATCATGCTCCAGCCAAAAAAAGATCATTGCAGCTGAGAGAGGACTCGACTCACTCGTCATCAGTCGTGTCGAATGGAATGAGGTTTATGAGGTTCATTCGTTCGATCATTTCGGAAACACAACAGTACAGCACCTTGTCCTTTCTGGTGATCGTACGAAATACCATATGGTGCGGAGTTCTGAAAGCTATGTGGATGTGGAGTACAGTACGCCCGAAAATGGATCGGAGCAGAGAACTACGCCGTACTTATAATTCAACCACTTTTTAATTAAAGGTGAATCGAATCTGCAATCCTGCTTCTCGGAGTAGACTACTTTTCTCACATCCTTCTTGGACGCCTCGGCATGAGATTGCCCAGAGCACCACCACACTTTGCATTCCGGCGCGCCGTCTGAACGAACAGACCACTTTCATCATAAAAAACAAAATCGAAAACATGAAGCTCTCTAGTGCCATCACGCTCCTTCCAATAGCTATTGCTGGATCCCTCTTGTCAGGTCATGGGGCAAAAGCCTATGAAGTTGGCTGCCTCTATCCAGAGGCCATGCCTGACCCCATGGTTGCCAGGAACAACATCATGACATTATGGGCAAGCATTGCTCAGGCTCACCCTCTTGAAACTCCTGTCGTTGTGTATTTTGGTCATCTTTCAGCTGTCTGTGCAGCCAATTGTTTGGCATACCATGATGACACAGTTTTGAATTCTGTGACAAGAGCCAGGCCCACCATCAGTGTACCAGAAGAGTACCACAACTCATACAGCAGGGTCCTTTGTTTTGCCCAATGTTTGGGTATTTTTGCAGACCCAGCTGGGCCAAACCGTCTCAAGCCCTTGTGGGAACTGTGGGAGTTGGAGGGCATCCAGGGGATTCGTCCTGATGTCCAAGCTGCTTTGGCTGCTGCAGCAGGAGGAGATCCTTCGGACCTCGGAGGCCTTCTGGTTGCCGAAGACTATCACCCATTTCTAATTGGGCATATTGCTGCCCTTGAAATTGCGAGCAAACTTGCTCAGGATGGATGGAATGCACAGGGTGCTCTTTCATACGACTGGAACACTGGCCAACCGGTTCCCTGCACAGCAAACTGTGAGAAGTATGGCGACATTACTGGCTATGCCCCAAGGAATGTATTCACCGGTAAACAAGAAAATGACACGGCCAAGTACATTGTGGAGGGCAATGACAAGTACTGGCAGCCACTTTACGAAGACAATGGCTTGGGTACCTTTACCTCGCAGAAGCATGTCACCCCTCATGTTGGAATAACTGGAAAGCCATTCGTGCTTGACTCTTTGGACTCTGTTGCTCCCTTGGATGATCCTGAGTATGACTTTCTCAAGGAATCAGAGATGGTTGTGGAGAGACTCCGTGAAACATCTGGCGACAACTTGAAGAAGCAGAAGATTGCACTTTATGATGACAAGATTCTTGTCCGAGGCATCATCCAGCATGGAATGAGGAACCAGGTAGGAGCAACATATTCCTATGAAGATGAGGTTCTCTTTCTCCTTGGCATTTCGTCAGCGGAAAACGATGCTCTGTTGCTGTCCTGGCGGGAGAAGGTGAGGCATGATATTGTCAGACCCACAACAGTCATCAAGCGCTGGGGCAGCGATGTTTTGGAGACTTTTGGTGGGGATAAGGCCTTTGACGGCCCTGTCAACATCTCTGCCAGAGACTTCCAGGCATTCCAGAGAGTGATGCCACACAGTGAGTTCCCTTCAGGCTCCTCTTGTCTGTGCACTGCATATACAGAGTTTACAGATGCCTACACAAGCACATACTTTTCGGATGTGACACTAAAGGACCTGACCTATGGAGAAGACGGATTCAGCATTGGTTGTGTGGATGGAGAGGACCCCTTTGTTCACAAGACAAGTGGTTGTGACTCTGCTTTTGTCATTCCAGACATTGCCAGCCTAAAGGAAGACTGCAGTCAAAGTCGTCTTTGGGGAGGATTTCATTTCACTGCTTCAGTCCCTGCTGGTCAAGAACTTTGCACAGGCGTTGGTGGAGAAGCCCTCAGTTTTGAGAGAATGATCCGCAACAACAGCACTCTGGGTTCCAAGTTCCACAAGGGTGACAGCCGCCCACAATGCTCGACTGCTGGGGACGCCGATGTTGCTGGGGATGCCGACGCTGAGGATGTTGCTGATGTTACTGAGGTTGTTGAGAAAGACGAATCCGAAGGAGGCTCTCTCAAGGGTACTGCAGGCAGTAGTGATGAGATGTCATCGGCAGGTGCATCTGGCAAGCACAACTTGTACCTTGCTTCTTTCTTTGGCTTCATCCTGGCTGTAGCAGGTTTCTAGGATGCCAGCAGCGCATGTTGATGCCCCCAAGACAAGACAAAACAAAGCAGAAGCAGTGCACCACAACATTGGCACCACCATCAAAGAACGAAACTAGAAACAACGAAAGACGACTCTCAGGAGCACCAAAACACCAGAAACAACAAAAGATGACTCCCAGGAGCACCAACACCAGAAACAAAAGAAATACATGTTATAGGGACTTGTACCTGTTGAAGAAAGGATGGCTTGGCCCACAAAGCAAGTTTAGAAGATCGTAACAAGAAGTAATACTACCTTTTTATCATGCATGAGCTGTGGCAGCTACCGCTAGCTAGTAGGATCCTTTTGTTTTAGTTATTGTAGTGGTGCTAAATTGTCCAGTTGGCTGCTTGTGCCCTGCCAACGCTCGCATATCCCTCTTTCAGCTCTAGCCAGCCAGTAGCGAACATTCAGCGCCTCGTATTGAAGCAAGCGGCCGCAACGAACCAAGCTAGAGGTGGGTCGAGTCCGAAGCCATCTGCCGGTAAGCGCGGGAGTCGAGTCGAGTCGAATCGAATCAAGGTCGAATGGTCCTGAGGCGTGTCAATTTGATCATTTCTAAAAAGTTTTTGCTGACAATGGTGACCGGATACGGCAGTACCGTACCGGTAGCGCAACAACTGCTCCCTGGCTAGCTAGCTTGCAGCCCCAAGGAAACTCTCTCGCAAGCAATTTCGAAACGAGACAATTTCCAGAGCGATTTAAAAAGAAATCCAACACCCTTAAAAATTTCTCCTCCCATTGCTGTTGCTCTGGCTCGGGCTTCTAACTATCTAGACGTCTCTAGCTAGTAGCTACCACCAGGTAGCGCAGCCAGCTCATAGATCAAGCACGAGTTTTGGTGGAGCCGACGGATCTTGAGCTTTCGTCCTGAGTACAAGATGGCAGGGCGGACATTCAACCTGCGTCCAGATGCCGCTTCCCTCCTCGTGTCGCTCTGGAGGCTGCGGCCAGCTTCACTTGGCAGATGCGGCCACCATCCCAGCCAATGAAGGCATGAGCAGATGCGTGTGGCCAATGCAAAGACGCACTTGCTCTCAACGGACGACCATCGCCGACTTCAACCAGACGGCGGGAAACGCGAAGCCCTGCAAATTTTTGCGCGGGCTCCAGATGGCTGACCACGTCATATCCTATCTGTCAACGTCTTCGGAGAAGTGACAAAATCAGGACAAATCGGTTAAGTAAAATGAAAACAATCTGTTTAACAACCTGAACTATTCAAGATATTCAATTAAAAAAGACACTCATACGTCATGCAGCACGACATTGTTCTTGTTGATGGATAGTGCGTCATTCTTTCGTTTGGAAGAACGCGGGAGTCCTCGAATCCCACCAATCAGGGACTGACGCACTTGCTCACAAGGATCGCCCAATGGCATCAAGAGCCGAAGGCATCCACCGATATGAGGCTTGCAGGGTTTGTTGATGGCCCTTGGCAGCTTTTGGGAGGAGGCACAAATACTTGTCACCATCAATTTGTTTTTAAATTGCTGCTGTTACTATCACTCTTAGCTAGCTATCATCTATCTATCAATAATAAAAGAAAGAAGAAAGCCACAATGAAGATCTACATGTACAGCGCACTTTTGGCATTTGCCGCATCTACCCACGCGTTTACCCTGGCACCAAAATCCCGCGCCTCTGTGGTTCTCAACTCGAGCCCCCCTGGTCCGTTGGCCAATGGTCCCGGTGGACAGGGCGGTGCCCAAATTACCGGAGGAGCTTCTCCCTACAATGGTCCCGTGACCGGAGGTCCCGGAGGATCTATTTCTGGCAAAATGTTGGAGAATGAGTATTATCCTTCCAAGCCACCGACTGGCAAGACCAAGGCTGCGGATCTTTTGTTTTCACGTGATATTGCCACACTCCCTGCTGCCACTACCATTCAGGGAGGAGCCCTCAAGACATGGTCGTTCCCCAGTTCGGATGTCGATCGACTGGTCGTCTCCATGACGTCAGATCACCCCACTTTGGATACCATGACTCACGAAGGTCGTTTGTTGCACGCCAAGGTCGACTTGTGTCAGGGACCCAATAACACCCCTCTGCAAATGATTGTCAAGTCCGGCAAAGGTAAGCTGCGTCCCTTCAAGGCCATCATCGAAACACCCGGTGGACACTCTTCCCTCTTTATCCGAAACATTGGAAATCTCGAATTCCCAATCATGGCCTGTGTCGAGGCTGCCATGGAAGATGCCTCCATGGCCGGCGGCGCCGCTTCGGAATTCAAGACTGTCTCCAAGAGTGTTTACGACATGGCGAACCCCAAGACACTGCAAGGAGGATCCGTGGTCACATTCCCATTGCAGAGCTCCATCGCTTCCGTCAAGGTTATGCTCAAGACAGAAGGACGTCCTTTGAATGCTCTGATCGAGTTGGTCCAAGGTCCCAACAGTGTCAAGCACACCATTGATCTCTACACGGAACACGGAATTGATCGTCCGTTTTTCTGTGTCATTACCAGTCCAGGAGCCGAAAACGTCATTCGAGTTGTAAACACAGCTCCCGTCGAATTCCCCTTGACGGTTGGTGTCGAGCCGTATGTCGTCGAAACCAACTAATTTGGTTTCTTTCGACTAACTAACTGAATAACCACTGGGAAGAAGAAGAACTAGATGGAACCAAGACGAACGATCCTTTTTATGCAAGAACAAACCTGTAGTTTGATATAAACATTTGTGCTCAAGTAAATCAACATCACACCACACACACCAAAGAGGAATGATGTTCCCAAAACCCCCAAATGTACTAACAACATCTAATGTGTCTCTATTTTGTGAAAGAGAGAGCTACAGCCTACTAGCTAGCTACTACCCACCCAGGGCATGCAAGCGAACAAGATGATAATATCAAACTAACAAAAACACAATTTCATACAACATTCTCCTGCCTCCAACAAATAATTCCTAGCTATCTAGAGCTTGACGACCGGGACATCGCATGGACACCATAGACACCTTGCAATGTTGAATCAACGAGCTGCTCCACTCCTAATGTTGCCTCAACGGCTATCCCCAGGCAGCTTGATACCTATTCGAAAGCCTCAAACCCATCTGCGTTCTAAAAGAGCGCCCCAAGAGGATTGGCCTGACCCAACCTGCTCAAAAAGAAGTTGGCCACTTACAACGCCCAAAATGATGTCCAGATGGGAGACTTTCCGTGTCCTCCTGCCACCAACAGGCAAACGTATGTCTTCCAACAGAACAAGGGCAATAGAGGTACGTAGTTGTAGGTGGTCTCGAAGCTGGCTAAATTCTCACCAAGCTTGTCTTCCACTTGAAGGCAGCTGGGTGGGTGGTGGGATGTGGGATGACTGTGGTATTGGATTGGGCCATCACAATTCAAAATTTGACTGACGTACCTGGCAGGTTCGTATTGGTTGGATCTTCAACAAAGATACACAATCGACGTCGTAGAAAGGAATGAATTAATCACGAATGATTCGATTCAATCAAATCTCGAACAATGCGGGTTTGACAAGATTGTTCATTAGAATTCGAAGTATCCCTTGCAAGTGGCTACAGACCAGATCATTCACAAGGCTTGGCAAGTCTCAAGCCTTGCCCGGGGTGCAAGTCTCGAGTGTTGCTAGGACAAAGCAAGGCAAAGCAAAAGATACAAGGACATAAACCACGAGATCCTGCTGTAAAAGAGCGCGAAGTAGACCTGCGAGAGAGTGAAAGGAAGTTGCAAAATGTCAGAAGCAGGAACTGCTGATTCCCAGCACCCCGATGCCCTGCCCATTCCCGATGAAAGCACGTGGGAGATGCTGGTGGATGCTTACAAAAAGGCCAAGAAAGAGAGCGATAAACGCGATGTTGCCTTGTTGGAACGATTGACATCGTCCAACCGCAGCGGATTCCATGTTGATTTTGAAATTCGTCACATCCCGGGCAAGGGTCGTGGCCTGTTTGCAGCTCAAGATATACCCAAGGGAACCTGCGTCAGCGACGATCGTACGGGCCGATTTCGAACCGAACAGGAATGGCGTGACTTTTTGGCCTTGTTGCCGCACGACTTAGCCAAGGAGAGTGTGGATTGGGTCGGTGTGGATGACTATCGAAGCGGCGAAGCCGTGTACATTGACTTGAGCGAATCGAGTCTACTGAATCATGGTTTCTCTCGGAGATCACTCCAATGGTGGGAACGTTGTTTTCCCTGCTGCACCTGGCGCAAGGTGACCGCCACCGTCGAGGGCAAGTACTTTGATGGGATGTGGCATATGGTTGCTACACGAGATTTAGAGGCAGGAGAGGAATTGCTTTGTGACTACAACCAATGCGGCAATTACAATCACAACCTTCCTTGGTACGATGTCATTTGCCAGGAGTATTACCCTGGCATAACCCGTTACGATGAGTTGGAACGTTGGTGTAGAAAGAAGTAATGCAATCAAAAAGCTAGAAGCTATTAATTAATGGCTTTGCGAGTTGTTTGTTACCTTTACTAGTTTATCGTGGCCTCCATTCCAGAAAAAAAGACACCGTTGCAGGATACTTCACGTATTGATATTTCACCTTTTTTCAGATTGACCTGTTGAGTACAGAGTTGCAGATTGTTTTACCAACTCAAAGATTGAGATATGAAGGTTGTTTGGGAGTCAGCGCAGGTTCTCCAGGGGAACTTGGAACCACATAGCAAATGTTTCAATCTTTCTATCTCGGTGCTCCAAAGGCTTCTGGCATTCTCTCGACGGTATACCGATAACCACTAATGTACATGCACGGTACACCAGGTATTTTTCGAATGCGTCCCCTCAATTCCTTGTCACAGGTAGCAACAATGAAGCACCTCCATTGCTTGGCCATTTGTGTGAGACAATCATCGGCGTAGCAACCCTTGCAACTGCAGGGGATACGTTCAAAGCGAGCATCCTTGGTCAATCGCAAGGCAATCTTGTACTTGCCACCTAGCTTTTCCAGTTCGCCCATGACGCAGTCCGTTATACAGGGAATGCACTTGGCCAACAAACAGTCGCACATAGCTCGAACAATGTCCAGCTTTTTTCGGATGGAGTAATTGATAAAATTGGTATCCACCAGCACATGATAGGGAGGACCCAGCTGGGTATTGTACTGGAAAAACAGAGCTGACACCGCTTGTTCCACTTGTTTTGGCGCCGTCTCCTTTTCCCTCTTGGCTTCTTGCTTCTTCTTGGCAGCTTCGGCGTTGGCAGCCACTCGATTGTCCTTTGGACTAATCACTTTCTTGGCGACGGCAAACTTGCGAGTCTTCTTGGCTTTTCCCATGGTGTTTATTGTTGTGGAGCTGTTGTGGTTGGTTCAAGCAAGGTGTTTGTTGTTCAAGTTGGTTTCGGGTGAACAGGGGAACAAAGTTGGGTGGCTGCGGAGGCTCTATTTTGCTTTGGATAACGTACGGTACTGACATGCTGACTTCCAAAACTTCCTCACAAAATCCAATCTGTATCTTTCTTGGTAGTCTACCGGTACTGTCCGGTAACCGCCGATTTCTTTGCATGCATTGTCATACCGCAATTTGAAGGCTACAGTACTAGCTAGTCGTACCCTTCTGAACATATCACAAGCTCAAAAGTTGCAAAGGCATAGCCGACTGAAGAAAGATCCTCACAATTGACTGAATGGAGGCTACATTGAGAGTTGAGAGTCCTTGTTTCTCGAAGCTTTCAAAAGTATCCGGAGAGACTTGGAGGGTTTTGTGCCTGACTCCTGACCTGGCCACCCTCAAGACTCTTGACATTGGATACAATCGAGTCCAGGAACCATTCCGAGTCACATTGGTCTACTTACCACGAATAGTTTCTGCTACAGCGTACAGGTCTCTGTCTCATCCCCGACGTCATTCTGTGTTTGCAACGCAACAAACCATAGTCTATTGAAAAGGAGTATCATATATCAAATGAATAGATAATCTGAACAGCGAATAAACCCATTGGTTGCTATGTTCTTTCAGGATCGCTTCTAACCACCAAAGGTACAGATGGCTGATCCATAACAGATCACAATTGCTCCAAGCTCTATGAATCATCCAGACCGTTCACAGATCGGCTGCAATACATTCGAGGAGCATCCATTTGCGTAATTCGTGGCCAAGAAGTCTGATAGTCAATAGATTCGCACAATTTCAATTCAGAATTTGTGGATCCATTGGTATTCCGACTGTCTTGGTCAGGAATGCAACTTGGAATCACTTTCGCTGACTGCGACGACGTGGTCTCTTGCGTCTTCCCTACAACAAAGAGGAATGGGATTCGAGTGAGAACCTACAGCCGGCACTATCCGTTGATAGTTCTGAATAAAAGCCACTACTGGTAGTGAGCAATGCGCTGCTTACTCCTGACGGGCCATTCGAACCATCGTTTGTACCATCGTCGTCTGCAGCTCCACCCGTTTCATTGGGTTGAGGAACAGAAGGCGATGGTGCTCCCGATGAGGTTGATTGGCTTGTCATGTGTTGGCGGCTGACTAGGTTTACTATCCCTCTCTCGTCGCTGTGCAAGTAAGTGTCGACTTTTCCGAGATGAGGAAACGAATCGGAGAGCTCTTCTCGGACACGTTCCAAGAGATCACGAGGGAACCAATCAGCCTCACAAACATGTCCTTTGGCTTTCTCCTCCCCACAGATATTGCACTCATACACACCATCGTCTTCTTCATCATTACTTGCCCTGCGACTTGTGCCATCCTTGTTCCTCTTTGCCCTACGTTTTGTTTCTCTTTCTTTTTCCTTGAGCGCCTTCAAATAGCGATCTACTGCATCGCGAGTTTCACCAGGGAGTAAACTATCTCTAATGGAAACGGTGAGCCATTTTGGAAAGTTCTTTACGCAGTCACACTCTGTTGTCTTGAGCTTCCCGCAGACTGTGCACTTGTATTTGTTCTTCAAGTAACCGGCAACAGTTTTGAGAAACTCGGACGGACATGAATCGGAGAGCTCTTCTTTGGCACGCTTCAGAAGCCCCAGAGGGAACCAATCAGCCTGACAAGTGCACATGCGCCCACCTTCTACCTCCATGCCACACGCTTTGCAGCGGTACACACTCTTGATTGCCGGTTCTGTTTTGCCCTTGGACTTCTCCATATATCGGTCTACTTCATCACGGGTCTCGCCAGTGGGTAACCTTTCTCTAATTTCCTGGGCAAGCAATTTCGGAAACTCCGCAACGCAGTCACAGCCTTTCATCCTCGGCTTCTCGCAAAACACACATGTGTTTTCTTCGGGTTCCTGAAGTTCACTTGGATCAACTAGGTCAAAGGTTCTCACGCTCATGTCATCTTCAACATCAGCAGGCCGTCTGTTGTTTTCCGCGTCGCAAACATCGGCATTCTGGGTTACAGGCTCTGGCGGGACGGCAGCTTGTTGCGTCACTGGATGGGATCGTAACAAGTCCGCAACGTTAACTGCGAACTGAGAAGTTGTCATTGTCGAATTGTTGTCGCGTCTCAGCTGTTCTAAAACTTGTGCGGCTAGCTGCAACAGTTCCGCATCCGAGACTGTATTTCCTCCATCGTCGCGTCCGGCCCTGACATGGAGCAGGGAGCGCACCAGATCCACCACGGTTGCTTCATTTTGATTGCGATCACTTGCTGCAGTTGCAGCCACAAGTGACTCCAAGGATTGGATGTTGTTCAGCAAGTCCGCTGCCAAATGATTCACTTCAGATAAGAGTCTAACTGGATCCAGTACATGATTGCCTTCCTCAGAACCTGCCGATCTAGTACTTCTAGTACTGGTGGAAGGCTTACGGTCTCCATCCATTTTGCCCTTTATCTCTTGTGGCAAAGCTCTTGTGGCAAAGCTCCTGCCACCGGCTTGATACGAGGTCCGTTAGATACTGCTAATAGAAGATTTGAGGTTTTCATGTTCCAGTTGTGTAGCAAATCAGCGTAGCGTCTCCAAATTTTCATAAAAGTAGCTGAGGTAAACATCTCCTAAGTATTCTTGAAAGAATATCTAAACTACCTCAGCTAGAATGATGGCACGACATCTGTCCGTTGCACAACTAATAGGTCCAATCCAATGACCTCGTGAGCCCGCCAAGAAGTATCTAACTGTGCTACAGGAAGGGGGACACGTTCAGGATATTTCTCTTTTCCTTTGCACGCGCCGAGCTTGTTTGTACAATGGTACAGCTGTACCGGTATCACAGCAGTTGTCGATCAAGACGAGTGAGTGGTTGTGAAGTCTCCGAGTTACTACATGTGTGATTATGAACAACTACAGGACATAAAGTACATAAAGAATGAAGCCATGATTTTTGTTTGTAAAGATTGTCTACTATGTGTTATTGTTCTATGTTTATGTTTGGTTGTATTCAAGATTGTAGCATAGCATCAACAATGATAGAGGTTGGTTGTCGGGTGTCACGGGTATTAACTTTGGACTTTCGTCGCGTGGAGGACGTTCGGACAAGCACTCTGCAATAGAGGCTGCCTAGCACAGGAACCACAAACCTGGCTACCTTCGATGTGACCCTTCAATTGAACCAACTGTATTCATCTCCGCAAATTGTTGTATAGCCCTGCACCCCACCAGATGCTTGCTCTTTGTGTATTGTATTGTGTTAGTCCCGCAATCCGTCGTGGAACTTACCTGTTGTCCTAGACTGGAATGTACCGGTCAGGCTTTCTGACTCGACGTCCAGAAAGAGTTGTTGTTGTCTGAACTGTTGTTTGCTGCTGTGCGTCCGTCACAGGTTGTGTCGTCGTTGTCTTCTTCTTGCCCTTCACCTTTGGCTTTGTCGACTTTTTCTTGGTGGCCACCGCCCGTCTACGTTTAATTCTAGGTTGTTGAACTGCCACCCACCGTGACTTCGTCTTGATTTGTTCTGCGATTCTCTGAGATGCAATCGCCACCATGCGTCTCTTTGATCGTCGCAAAGTTGATTGTGCTGTGTCCACATTGTCCTCCTCGTCGACTCGGTTGTCGACTAGTGGTTCTTCAGCATCAACTTGTTGTTGTTCCTCGACCAGTGGCTCTTCAGCTACCACTTCGTCGCCAGTCACGAATTCATAATCTGTATCGTCCGAGGCTACACCAGCCTCCAATTGTAGTGTCTTGTACCGCCGCATCAATTCCTTGACAAGGTCTCCACCATCCTTCATCAAGGCTGCGAGAATGTCGTTGGGTACCACTCCAAGTAGCACACCATTCATCATTCGCATCTCCAATACAAATGGCTGTTGTCCATGCACACTGATCTTGAAGTGTGCCACACGCCACTTTTTAACGTACGGGACCACTGCTGTGCATGTGGGAACCACCACTGCTTCGTATGTGATTGTGGCAGCGGATGCCATCTTGTCGTCGTCGACGGTCGAGACTGTTTCTATTGTCTCAACATCTTTAGTTGTTGTTGGTTGTTGTTCTACTTCTACTACGGGTGCTGCATCTTCCATGCAGACATCCTTGACCTTGCGATAGACAAATCGTCGTTTGGCAATCTGTTCTCGCGTATTCAAGGTGCAAATTTCGTCGTCAACGTTGCGCTGAATTCCACCGTGATGCAAGTGGCACATGGCGAGTTCGAACATGTAAGTGTTCTTTTCGTTGACCATGAACCAGTGGGCGACTTGTTTGTCGTTTCCTCTCTTCGCCTGGATGAAACGAACAAGTCCCTCGAGGTCTTGATGCATGGCATCAATTTGAATGTACAGTTTGGCTTGTTTTAGGTAGGCTTTGTCGCTTTGGAACCATTTGTTGTTGGTGATCCATTTGGTCACTTGTTGGTATCCATACTCTTGAATCACCTGCACAAGATCCAAGACACGTTCGTGGGGTGAGGGTGTGCCGACGGAAAGGAATTGTTGTTGGGCTTCATGCCAGAATTCGTATTGGGCCTGTGGCACATGTTTCTTCATGTCTCGATAGACACGACGGTTTTCGGCTTGTTCGCTCTTGTCAGAAGAGTACCCCACTACAGTGTTGACAGGAGCAAAGGATAAACGGCTTCCATTGCTCCGTTCGGTGTCTTGACTGTAATGGGCCTTCCAGCGAGCGTTGGCTGAATGACTGGGTTTGATGCGACAGCCTTTGGGCCGGTGCTGGTTGTACTTGTCGTATCCGTAGTGACCGTGCTGATCCGCAGGAACCAGGGAAAGGTCGTAGGCACCTAGGCAGCGACCGTGCTGCTGGAATTCCACATCAGGATTCGTTCCATACGTGTGCAACAGTGCCGCGGTTTGGACGACATCTTTGTCCAACTCGTCCAGTTGGAATGTTGGGACTTCCTCTGCTGCAGGGGCGTCGTTGTCGTTGTTGTTGCCCGTCATCTCCTTGGCGACCTGGAGAACGGTGCGACGGGATACAGCTTACAATTCAGCTTTACAGCTTTATAAATTGTGGGCCTATTCTAGAAAATAATCAATAACTGCTCACTTATTTGGAAATACAAACTTTACATCTCTTAGATCGTTAATTAATCAATCCACAATGGTATTGTCGCATGGTAGATGCGAGTTATGAGATGTTCTCATTCTTATTCTTATAGTCTATCCCTTATGGTTGTCAATGAATGAGCTATCCCTTGGTGCAGAGTCCTGAGTTTTCTCTCATTATCTTCATCGGTAGTCCTTCCCTTATTGCCACTTAATCTGTCGATTGGATCCATATATCCCTTTGTCGATACCTTGGATTCTCTCGCAACAATCCCCTTTTTTTGTTATTCGCTCGTAAGCAATCCACTTGTTCCCCTTGTTCTTTATCCGTTGTCGATCGACTGTGATATCAGCTGC